ATAGACGGTGACTGTAGACATTTTAAAATACATTATTATGAATATACTTGATAGTAACATCTAGTGCTTAATCCTAAATCCTACAATCAATGAAACGATTATGTAAATCAGTCATTTGAAGAATAACATTAACTTAGGTGTAATTATACTTATGTTATTAGTTCCAATATAAAAATTTAGGGAATTGTGTGGAATGTTATTAAGTTTCTCTCAGTGTATCCATAACAATTAGGATATCCACACGGGTAGAAATATTTAACATTACGGGCACTATCCCTGTTGTAAACAGCCATGGTCATTTAATGAATTTCAAAATGTAGAATTTGATACAACTACAATAAAAAAACGCTATCTTTAACGCTAATTATATTCAGGTTTTGATCATATTTTACTTAGTAAAGAGAGTTCCTGAAATTAAACATTGTAGGTTCGTGATATATATTGGCATTACAATAAAACGAAATAGTCTTCAAAGGAAATAATTAAAATATAAAAAGTACCTATACAAAACAATAAAAAAAGGTTTTATGAAGACGTCGTCGACAACACAAAGCACCTGTGTTATGTATTATAGTATGTTTTTATTTGTTAAAGACCTGACTTGTATTGAATATCATAAGCATATTGAATATTTATGAAGTCGAAAGTGAGGCGAGAGATTTCTTTACTTGCTTCGATTACTTTCATATCGTACCATAATCTGCCACCGATTATTATATTTGATCTTATGATTTCCATCTCTTTAAAAAGTTTTCCGTCGATGTCAGGTGGTCTACTCTATATGCACGAAATTCCTGTTTTCGATTAAAGTTTCGCATATTACTTACTACAGATCTTTGACGAATGCCCGATGTCGTGACAGTTTCGATTTGAGCGTGTGAAAAATTCTCTATAAAACGGAGTAAATTCGTTCATGTCAAAGTAGCCTATGGGCTATGCAATATTGGCGGGATTGTAGTTTTCAATAATATTTTTTACCGTCAATAATATATTTACTGATTACTTCAGTTTTTTTTAGAATTGATTGATTTTACCTATATAGTGCCATATAAGTGTAGCTCAATATTATAGGTATATCACTTTATATTGTCGGTGTAAAGAAGAAAGAAAGAAAAATTTTCTACCGTCTTATTTCCACAATAAATAAAGATATTTTACAGTAACAAAAACGGAAACGAAAACATACCATCAAGATAATATTGCGCTTGTGTATGGAATAGGTAAGCTTTATAAAAAAATCAATATTAAAATTCAATAATTCTACTTCACAAAACTGAATTTGTTTAATGAACGATAATTCCATTTTCATTGGACAGTAATTTGTATACATTCATAAAAGTTTATAGGTAATTATCAAACCAATTTGAGAGAACGAGTATAAATCGTGTACGTAATACAATTGTAAATAAAACCTCACCGTGAGTTTATTTCAGCCTTCCACTGTCGAACGGATGCGACCGCTCATGATTTTTCAATAACTGTAGATATATTTTTCTTTTTCACATATCTGTAATTGCTTCCATTTCTTCTATAACTATATGATCGAAACTGTTCTATTTAAAAAGACTTATTTCGTTTTCAAGTATTTCTCGTTTAGTCTATCGCCGATTCAATAAAATGGAACCTTGGAACGACTCGATTGAAAGATGCGAAAAGCTTCTAAAATCTTGTTATGTGTTGGACTAACAACATATAACATGTAATTTTCAGTTAAATTGATACGTTTCGACGACGCATAAAATGTCTCTAAATAGACAATTTGGCACATGAGCCGACTCAACTAAGATTGGCTCTTGAAAATATCATTTATTCATAAGATATTCTTGATACTAGATCGTGATGATTTGCTTAAAATTCAATAAAACAGATAATAAAAGGACGGAGGTACCAATGATGAGAAAAATAAATGTGGAAAGTTCTAGTAATTTTTAAATATTTAACTAGGACACTACTCCTTTAAGGTTTTCTGGTTGCTGATATGATATTATTACAAGCCAATTTTGGCGCATTTATCCTAGATTAAATAAACTATCGTTATGGAAAAGTTATACTTAATGTTTCAAAACTAACATTCATACTTACAATATATATAATAGAAAACAGACGTTTTGTCATATCAGTAATATGCATAAATTATTATAACCTGTTTCACATTTTTATTTAAATTAGAATTTTAAAACAACAGATAAAATGCTCATCTGTTTTTTAAAGGAAAATAACATGTATGACATCTTATCATATTCGATATAATTATACACTTAATTAGTAAGTAATTATAAGCTAATGATAAAATTATTTTTAATCTATCATCACACAATAATGTTTCGAATACAATATTTTAGAATTATTTTATTTTTTTCATATTCTCTAAGTTTATATCAGGATAACATGAAAATTGTTTATATTTCTATGATTTTACATAAACTATCTTTTAAAACTTAAAGCTTCGAAATTTAGAGGCTAACTTAACAAAGAAGTAGTAAAAGATAGTGTGCATATACCTGATTTTGGTAATTAATATATACATAATGATTCATTAACACCAATAAACGTTAACATTTAAGGTGTTGCCATAATTAATTGGCTTACTATGTTACGTCAAGATTATCGATTGAAGGAAGGTACACGCATCATCAAATCATAACAATACGAGGAAAGCATCACGTGATAATCTTTAGCCAAACATACATTATATGAATGTTAACATTGAGAAAAATCCCTTTGAGGGATATCAATAAATAAATAACAGTTAAAATTTTAACAAATTTTACCAACACTCCCGCGTTTGAAACTAATCAGTATCTTAATAACTTACGAAACCCCATTGTCACCGAGTTAAATATTGACTGTATAATTTAATCAAATATAAATTCCGCAAGAAATAGATACAAATAAAATCACTGATTCACAACTAAATGTCATGTCAATAAATAAATTAATGTCATAAAAAGTAATTAAAAATAAATAGAAACATATCTAAAGAGGCGGGTAAAGCTGTCGTCAATACCTATGTTAAGATCTAATTAAGGGGTTCATAATTAATATTAATCTTTTGCTAACTACTTTTAGAATTTACAGCATGATAATGCATGCCGCCTAATTGAATGCTTTACTTTCTAAACACGTATTATAAGACCCTGATATTTATCTACTTTTTTCAAATTAATATGTAAACATTGGAACCTGACACAAATGCAAAGGTTTATAATACATATTTTTATTATTTTTTATCTTTATGCATACAGTTATAATTGTCTATAATACCAAAAATTGTAACGAACATAATTTAATCAATTCTACAGTTCTTATTATATTTTATCTAACTGGAAACTAAGAGTTAGAAATCAACTAGGTCACTGCGATAGGTTTTTGTAAAAGTCGTCACTATTGAATCTTTTTAGGTTACGGCGTTTTAAAATAAAGGCAATCACAAAAAAGAAACAGCAAGCCTTTCAAATGAAAGAACGGAGGTAGCATATGACGTCTTAATTTTGTATGGTTATTATCAGAAACGCAATAGAATGTTAATGATAGAAGAAAACTCAAGTAAATGTAAGATAAATAAAATTACACGGTATTTCTTTCATTTCCGAGCTAAACAGCCACAGAATCTACTTATTGTATGCAAAACTGAAACAGTGATGGAACAATGTGAAATCTATTTACTACATTAAACCGTGATTTATAACATGGATATGTAAACTTAACATTTATAACATTATTCTAGTAGGAAAGTTTTATCTTCAAATAATATTTGTAGCTAAATGCACATTTGAGGAAATTTGAAGTATGCATCACAATTTTGAATTATTCTGTAACAGGGAATATGCTGAATCGGCGCCACTTATAGTCAAATATCTCAATGTTTCCTTGTACTAAGACTAGAAATTTTCTCTAATGAAATTGCTAACATAGAACATAATAATCGTCAAGTTTCAGTTGATACTAAATTAACTTTCCTGTACCCTAAATTATTATAAGATTTTTATTAATTAAATTAGTTTAAAATGTGTTTCGTAAAGTCGAAAGAAACTGGATTTGTATAATGTATTAAAATAATTCCATAAAAAGAGATGTTCTATTACAAAGAGGTTGATTTATTTCCATATACATACACATACCGAATAAGATAACCTTCTTTCCTAAATATCTGGTTTATTTAATCTGTAATCATCTTATCCCCTTCATTTTATATCATTTTTAATCAGTGTCGTAACGTCAGGTGCTTAATCAGTTTTAATGCTATTTATGGAGCTAAACATATTTGAATATTTCGTCTTTGAATTTTAATTTCGATATCAAGGTATCTATACAAGGAAAGTAAATATTTAAAATAATAGTTATGTTGCATTTTTAATATGTTCTAATGTTAAGTGAGCCATGGCATACAAAAAGTTGGCTAAATTCATGATATTTTAAAAGATAATAAGGTTAATTCTTTTGACGACATAGCCATTAAAAAAGGAAATGGATTATTATTTTTTTATACCATGAACTGCTAACGGTATTCCTCTAAAATGTTTGGAATCATCACTCGGTCTGATCTGTTTACTTCATCATTTTAAGAAGACCAAAAATCCAATCATGTTAATTGGTCCCGCTCTACTCTGCGACGCTTTTGGAATGAAAGTAAAAAAACTGTCGTATCATCATTTCGGATCGTAAATCAAGAAGATATAACATATAGTTATACATGAAAAACGTTTAGAGGAAGCTTGAAAATGTTACAATTGTTGACTACGTAAATTTAGAGTATTGATTCTAATAACTTAATAAGTTGGAGCGAAGGCAAAACCGCACCTTATTTACGGGATAATGCTGTAACAAGGAGTTATATTATTGAAAGGAATTGCATTTCATTATCCATGAAGATTCCGGTGTGTCTGCTGTGGGCTTTGTTGTTGTATATTGACCATTTACAACTGGTAAAGGTCAACTGACGTGGACATCTGCCTGGAGTGGGAGGGACGGCGAATGGTGCCCACCTCCCGTGTTGAAGATCAGACTTGTGTGAAGCTTGCATGCATAGCGGTCTCCTCTTGGGCAATCTGATTGGCCGGAGTATAGTACTGTAAAGAGAACTTGAGATATCAATAGCCAAAAAAGGGTAAATAGCAAGATATTAATAGCTAGAAATTTGTTTACCAATTTTAAATACAAGAAAGTTTGTTATATTTATTGGCTATTTTTTTCCGTTTAAAACCGAGTTTCTGTCTTTTTAATCAACAAAAATAGGATCGTAATGTGTGAATAAGATGCAATATTATGACGTCGTGTTACGCAAAGTGAAAATTCTCAATTCTTTAGAACTAGTTATCGTTGAAAACTTTTAAAAGATTTAGAGGCATACAGATAAACGTGATTTTATATCTAATAATATTTATCACTGACAGTTAAAGTTATATTTTTTGTACTTTATATTAGTATCAAACCATACCCCTGTAAATGCACCGCCATTCCATCCAAGGCGATCGTGATCACGTTGCGAAGATGACCGTTGGGGTAGACTTTTACGTTCGGTTCGCGAGGCCATGCGAGCTTTTGCTTTTAATGCGGCCCTTAGGGGAACATTCGCTCTTGCAGCTTCAGCTCGACCGTGCTGGCAAAACTCTAATAGAGCAACAGCCAACCCAAGAGCTAATCCTCCTATCAATACGTAGAACAGTCCTGCCACTTGGCTCAACGTCAGCTCTGTGCCATGGACATTCTGAAATCCACAACATTATTAAAAATAAAAACCTAACATTTACAGAGTAGTCACTTTAGTGATATCTTGAATTTGGATTGAAACTATTATCGTATCGTATAATACTTTTGGTCATACTCAGTAGAACAAAATCATCAAATGTTTTTCCTAATCATAACTTGCCTGATCATTGATATCACATTCGGCGTGTGTAAACCATTTTCGAATAAGTTTTTGCAGTTCTCCATCAGTTTTTAAAGACTGCAAAGCAAGGTTGATGCCGTCCCTAGAAAAAACAAATATTTATGCTTCTATTGTGACTGTGATGACTCAAAAACATATTTGATCTAAATTATTTCGCTTTGCACAGTAAAGTTGTAATTAGCTTCGTAAAATTCGCACCAGCAGAAAATATAAGACATAAAATAAAATACTTCAATTATGCCCACCGCAGCTTGGATCCTTTTGGTAGTGCCACAGCAAAGTCTTTGACACCAGAGTTTGATACGGTTATCAACATCTCGCATGGTTTGTTTTTGCCGTTTTGTTTTAGAGAAGATTTATCCATCAAAAAGGCAAACCAACCATGCTCATCAATGGAATCTTGTGGTATAGGTGTAGTAATATGACCATCATTTGTATCCTATAAATTTAACAACGATATGTGGTTATCGATACATACACATCTCAAATATCAAACATGAGTAAAAATATGATTCCATGCTGTATAAGTTATATGTATGTTACAGCCAAAGTAATAAATCGTGTTATTATGTACAATAACTAGATACTATGAATAATATTAACCTCGTTTGGGCAAAGTGATTAATAAAGCTGAAAATATCACTTTGTTTTGCTGTAATATCTAATAGAATTTATAGTAAGACAAAGTGATAAATAGGTATACAATAATTAAAATATTTAACAAATCATAAAGAATTTAAAATATGAATGTAAGATGATACAATAGATGACGTACAAACGATTAAAATTAATTTAACAGAGGTTAGTAGGATATAAATGGCTAGGTTAGGTTAGAACTATGACGTGACCGGAATTGCGACTAAGGGACGGTGAACCAATGACCGGCATGGCATTTGTCGAGATGGACACCGATGGTCACCGGGGCTATTGGGAGGGGGATTCACGAGGGTTCAGCTTAGGTGAATTTCCCTACGATACGGGTTAGGGTCGAGATGTATGCCCCTGCTATTTCATTTGCCCCCATTATGGGAGTGGGTGCTCAGGGGAGAGTCCCACATAAATCGTGGATCTCGCGCAGGATGAAGAGAGTATGCGTAATGCATTTCCTAGAATTAAAAGGTTACAACTAATTCTACTATCTTTGAATTTGGTTAGGGGACAGCGTGTATATTTATAATAAATTTAAAAGTTAAAACCCAAATCTGAGTTCTTTGTAGTTCATTCTATGTTGTTTTATTCATTTTTATTAATTAAACTACAAAGAATAAACTACAAAGAATTAGTTTGATTAATTTATCACATTTACCATACAGTTAAGTAGTTATTCATAATATCAAGCGCGTATATACATAATGGTAAATTAATCACATTGGCTTTAACATATATGTATATACTTCTTACGTGGTATATTACTTTTAATGGGTAATAGTATCAGAAAATGTATTAGTAATATTCTACTTTAGTTATTCGCTGTCAAATTCTTTATGTGTCTGTTATAGATTATAGATATGTATTATTTTGAATGAAATGAAAATGTTAACAAATTTGTGAGTGCCGTCTTATAAAACAGATAAGTCGTCACAGAAATTTTCATAAACGAAAATTTTAAATTTTTATTAGTTATATTTGATATTTTATCATTCCAAACGCACGATGTATTGAAAAATATAATAAGTGCAGACTCATTGCTCAAAGTCTTACCTCAGGACATGTTGCCACTTTACTAAAAGATGGAGTGGGTTCCGATATACGTGACAGAGTTAAATATGAGGCGAGATTTGCAGTATATGAAGATATAACTATCAATGCAAAAAACCACCAAACAATACCCACGATTCTGCCAGACACGGACCTGCAATTCATTAAAGATTTCATAACACTTTATCTAAACTTTTTTTTTTTTATATAATTGGTTACTTGAATTGCTGCCTTTTAACCAAAGAATTAATTACGAAGAAAAAGGAAAGATAATGTATTCATTTCACAACCCTTTTAATTTTATGAAAATGCGATAAATTTTGCACTTTATATCAATTCGTACCGTGACATGAATGTAAATAAAAACTTTAAATTGTATAGATGTTTATTATTAACTTTTTAGAAATTGCATACTCTTGGTGTACGTATGTGTACATTGATAATGTTACACTAAGTGTATTATATGATACCTAATATACTTAAGACAGTCGAATAGTAAAATATTCACTGACCTCGGCGTAATGTCGCTACCCTGCTGCATGAATGAACCCAAAGAGAACCACATGGAATTCCAAAAGCTGAATTCATTCACAATGTTTGTCTGAAATAATACCGGATAATCAACTTACACAAATATTTGAACCAATCTTTTACTTATATACCTTCGAAGTTCTACTTGTATGAATAGTTGAATTTGAAAACAACCACGATATGGATAGGATTATTGGAATTATCGGCTTCCTTCAATAGTATTGCTATCTAGTCAAAATGGACAATGCTATGGTATTCTCTCTATCGAAACTACAATTGTATCACCAATATATATATACTTAATTTACACCAGGCAAGTATTTCCAGTCAGGATTGCAAACTGGTACTAGTACCTACCTATGTCAGTGATACTAACTTGGTGTCCTGGCTCAAAAAACTAGCCTCGTGTATATCGAGCATTTTTAACAGTTTATATTTATGGAAGATAGTATGTGTAAGTTACCTATAATAGAAAGTATCGCTTGTTCATTTATAATAATAGCGAATGAAAGTTATTGAATGAGATTTGGTCCTATTTGAATATTTTATTTTAATAATAAACTCTTTTTTCACCTGGCAACTCAACCGCATATCCACACGCTATATATAAAATTTATTCAGCTGAAGGACTATTCAGCTGGCTATGAATGATTATTTAAAAAAATTCAAACGCTATAGAAACGTGTATTTGTTTTAATGTCGTTTTCTAAATTAATTTAAATATAACTTATTTTATTGTCTATATATTTAAAGCAATATGAATATGATAAATGAGTATATATATAATTACAAAATAATTTAAACATATTCTAAACATAGATAAAAACCATAAAACGTTCTTATAGCTGTCGCTATGGATATAGCTTTTATGATTGAACAATACAGTTTCATTTAAAATTTATCAAATAGCTAAACGGGTAGCCATTGTTTCACTATAATTTGTTGTATAAAAGACAAACAATTTTATAATTGCCTGTCGTCAGTTGGCAATAAAATATATTGCATTCTTTTGAACCGGTGCCGTTGGAGAAAACTTATAGAATTGTATTCGCAACAGCGCAGTTCAATTTAATTTTTACTACATACTGTTTTTCGCCAAGAAAAAAGTGCGAACGTTTATTATGCTATGGGTGTGAAAAAAGTTTTAATCCTATGAGAATTTATATGTATAAATGAATCGCCAAAATGTATAAACTTCCAAACTGCTGCACCAAATTGAATGATTCTTCATTTTAAGTGTTACTTATTTTCTTCCTTTATAAGTCGGCCTAGAAAATGATCTATCAGTTTCGACGAAACTTTCTATGTGGTCTATAATTTATCACTTAGGTTGATTTTTCTAACGGACTTTAAATGCTTAACTGTGATATGTCGTCGTTATTTGTATACGTTCGTATATATATATACGTTCAAGTAAATCTCAATCGTATTTTGGTATACCATATTTTTGACCGACTATACTGACCAATATAGACTGGAAGATAATTATGTTCAACAAACCTTAGTTGCGGCGACTTCATTGTGCTCTGATGATTGTGTATCTGAAAAAGATACTACTTTCCATTCGTATGGTGAGAATCTTGAAACTAAAAACAGCACTACGCTCACTGCAAATACGCTAAATATGATGCATAGCTGAAATCATAAAGGTTATATTAATTGTAATTATTAAGAAATTGTACCTAATTCCAAAAAGAGCATGAGGTAAGTTTACAATCAGTGCATAGTTTTTTATTTCTTACTATTTAGAATATTTATAGATTAATAGAGTAGAACCCGCTTAATACAATTTCTCGCATAATACATTTTACTTAATTCGTCATCCCGTAATACGTTTTACCAACAAAACGTAAAACACGTTACACGTAATTCGATTTTACATCAATTGAAGTTGTCATTGATAATGTGAATAACACACAAACAAAAGTCTTAATGATGAAGCCGAAAATAAGTGAAATTCGATTTTGTCAACGAACCAAAGCTAAGACACACTGCAAAAGTTAAATAATGTTTAAAAGCAGATGCATTAAAATCGTTTTGTGGAACCAAAGTAAATGATTACTTTTTATAATGTAATCATGATTGGAGTATCTATTTAACGTTAATTATAAATGCTTAATATAATACCTACATACGGAATATGATATAGATATATTACATCTTTATTTTCCCTATCCCGCATACGACGCTTTCTCGCTTAACGCATTTTGGTTAGGAATCTATGAAAATTTTTTAAAGGGGTTTTACTGAAATTATTTATTAAATATTTATTAACGTTTTCGTGTTAATTTTTATAATATTAAAGAAGCTATTGAAAAAATCGACCATGTTTACCCGGAAACCATAAGAACAATGTCTAGATAGGCATCTATTTTCTTCTTTATCGCCATTGGTAGATGATTCCAAAAGTGAGAAAAATGCATATTTACAGTAAATTATGTAATATAACAATTTGAGCATAAATATTTTCCCGTATAAAGTTCTTCTACCGGTTGAATATAATTCTATTTCTGTGTGTCCGTCTCTGTCTGTCTATGTCTAAGTAGCTGATGTCAACATAATTTAATATAAAAAATCTAAAGTTCCGAGTCTGGAAAAGAAAAATATTAAAGACAAGGAAAACCGATGCCAAGGATAAAAGAATTTTCTAATAAAAAGTTATTTCATTTCTATCAATTCCGAAAACATTGTAACAGGTCGCTAGTAAACAAACAGAAATTAACCTGCATATTATCTATAATTAACATAGTTTTGTTTTCTTTTTCATAATTCTTGTTTAATTATGCGTGTATATTCGCTTCTGTACAATGACGTTTTATTATTAGGAACAATATACCCGTACATTATTGTGTTTTAAAACAGAATAAACTTTATTATGGTTTTCACAAAGGGCGCGAAGAAATCGAGAATATTTATCTTCCTATCAGAATCTTCAGCATATCTCTTGTTAGAACGAGTAAAACGACCTTTTTATTATTTTTATTAAAATTTAAAAGAGTAAGTATAGTACTTACGCATGCAATGAATTATCTTTTTCATTTTTCTCATTGTAAATGTGTAGTTTGTGCATTATTTAAACACGCAGGAAGGCATTTTTTCTACAAATTTTCATAGAAAATTACGAGTGAAAATGACATTAGCCACAACGCTTACTGAAACGTGACTAAACTGAAACTCGGGCAATTGCCTTGCGTTTTTGTTGCCAATGTTATGAGCAGATAACCCATATAAACTTTTTAATACATCATTGCTTCTTCTGTTATTACAGCTTATAATTAAAGGGTTGTACATTACCTTTACGGTTACACAAAGCTTAAATTATCTTACAAAAACCTTAATTGGGTATAAAAAATTAAAGGTATAAAAATAAATAAATGGTTTCTAATCTTTTCATTATCATTACTGAAGAATTTATAAAATAAAAGGACAACAGGTTCTATAATATATTTCTAAACAAATGACATATTCACAGATGCACTGCATAAGCCATGAAATAAGACACGATAATGAAATTATGAAATATAACAAAAAATACTCTATATGTTAAAATAAAATTATAGTTCTGTGATGTTTTTCTATATAATGTCAAACAAAATACAAAAACCAATATGAAAGTATAATAAAAACTATCAAAAGATTAAAGAAGGCTTCAATGTCAACAGTATCTATGACCCACTAGGAAGTTTGATTTTATCCGCCATCATAAATCTTGAAGGCATACCTATCTATAGGCGCACCCATAATATATATTTATAGTTTTATTAATGTTTTAAACATGTCTTAAATCATGAAGATGGTTATATCCACATTAAGATGATTATATTATTCTTTTATTAAATATTTGGTCTTAATTATTACGTTTTTGATAACACCCATTTGTTCTTATTATCTGCAATTATGTGTTTATCAATATATTTATTTATACCCACTTAATAAATGATTTACGGCCAGTTGCACAAACATCCATTAAGGTTTAATGACGCCTTTAAGCTCTTATGATTGTCAAATTTGTATGGGTAATGTCGCTTTAAACTAATGAAAATTTTAATGAACGTTTGTGCTACTGGCTGTTAGCCCCGTAAATCTCTAAGTTAGGAACAACTGGTCTATATTCTCAACAAATGTGGAGGAGACAAAAGAACTCAGTGTATACACCTCTAATAATAATTCAATATTACACCCGCTCGGCTATCCGTGTCAGATGCAGGCTCAAATAACATTCCTTCGAACTCTTACTCACCCATATTTCTTTGGAAAGTGGCAGTAAAAAGCTGAATATTGTGGTCGCTTCTTTAGTGGTTCCGCTGCTCGGTTTGATGTCGAACGACAAAAATGGCTTGGTGAAATCTACTACAGTTTCTCTCTCCACTGTTATAGTCAGCGGTGCTATAGCAATATCGACTTCCTAAAATTATTAAAGCTGTTCTTATTTACACCATTTAAATCGTATTACTTTAACTTATTGAAAATATTGATGTGTTCTTTTCACATTTAAAGTGTATTATATATTATAGAAGTCTTCGACTTCGTTAGCGTGGAAGACGGTTTCCCGTCTTTATCACTAAGGAGTGTGAAAAATAGATGTTGGCCGATTCTCAGACCTACTCAATATGCTCACAAAATTTCATGAGAATCGGTCAAGCCGTTTCGGAGGATTACGGGAACGAAAATTGTGACACGAGAATTTTATATATATAGAGATATAACATAATCACCAGACTATTAATGTCCCCACTGCTTTGGTACAGGCCTTCCCTATGGATGGAATGCAGTACGGGCCATAACCCACCACACAGGCCAAATGCGGATGCATGTACAATCACAAACAGCAGCTTAACATGCGAAGGAGGAAATCGAAATATAAATTTTAAGTCACCCATCCGTCTACTCATCATCAGCGAAAAATAGTATACATTAACTAATGCGCCATCGAGCTCTTCAATTATCTCAATATGTAATATTATGTATTATGTTAAAGCGATAATTAGACTTTAATGTACCACAAATTCATAATTTCCATTGACGGTTGTCTCATAGAGATTGTTGTTTTATTTTTGAAGTATGCTATAAAATTTATTCTATCTATAAAAAAGTATTTTATCGATGTCATTATTTTATTTTAATGAATTACAATTGCAAGTCTGCCCATAGCTAGAAAGACAAAATAGGTATATATAAACACACTGCCGAATTTGCGAACAAATTTCCGGTCGACAAATTGAATGATTTTCGAATATTGCGGACAGAAACGTAGAAGTTGATTTAAATATATAAGTTGATAACTTCATATTTATATATGGAGATTACTCAACATGTAAGCATTTGAATTTTCAAACAAAATCATGTTCTATTTTCTTTTATGTAATATATTAATAATTATATTACTGAAAATGAAATCAGTTAAAATTATTTTCTCATTAGGTTGTGTTCATAATTTTTAAATAGCAAAAAGGAATGTTATGGTTCGTACGATCACGATATCAAAGAGGTATATTTACGATGAGTACACAACGAAAAATGAGTAGACTATATTGTTAAATTGTGAGCCAAAGAAAATACACCTTTATAATAATTTTTTCACAAGCTTTTGGTACATAACTTATAGATGGGGGCGATAAGGGAACGACGTTTGAGATTTATGCGACGCAAGTTCCTATGAAAAAGGAAACCATTTACAGAGGCCATATTATGGGAAACTCGATATTTTCTTTAGTTCCATATTTATCGCTTCGCGAAACTAATGTGTGAAACATTAAAGCATGTAATATAAACTATAGAGAATAGATGACATAGGAATAGGTCTTGGTCAGGCGATAATTTCTATAACAGTAAATAAGAGGTAACGGTGATCATATAATAAATATGATCACGTTAATACCAAAGAGAAAAGAAGGGGAAAGATGACGACTCTTGTTGCGACACGATAGCTTTTTAAAAAAGATCATATAAGACCAATAAAAAAACAAACAGATTGAGGGGAAGACCCAAATGCAGTTACTTTGAATAAAAAGGAAGTAAAGGAAAAAGTGAGCGTAGTGTAGTACCAAGAAGTCAAGTTAATTGCAGAGGATAATGGAAATGACTCCACAGAAAAGAGTATCTCTCTTTTATGTCACAATTCAGAAGCGTTCGTAAACGTCTGTGAAGTGGTCGACTGAGTTGATAATTCCTATGAACATTCAAAAATTTTAACATCTGACAAAATCTGGACAAAATATTTACGAGTTTGATTGTTTTTAAAGACTTCTCGTTTTCTCTACTTGCGCACAATCTGACACTTTAGATTATCTGGAGGAATTCACTTATAGATTCTAATTTTGGTATTGGTATATTTTGGTATTTTAGGTAAGACCGCCTATTGCACATTAATGTTTTTTTTAGTTTTCCTTTTGTTTATGTTGTGTTTAAGATTTAGAATTATTATCGTAGCCATTGCTCTCTTATATGTCACAATTTCAATTTTGTTTTAAGTTATTAATGAAAAACTTAAAACAATGGTTCAATATACTTATTGTACTATTTATGGAAATTTCCATATATTGAGATTTCTTTTTAATACGTTTTTGACTTAATGAAAAGTAAACATATTTTTCAGTTAAAGATTGAAATACCTAGCGTATACATTTTTTTTAGTTTTACACACCTTTCTAATAAGTTCTCCGACTATTCCATCCCATCCGCCAATAATTTTCGGATTTTCATTGCCGTATTTTCCATCTTTCACCATATTAAATTCATCTGAAAAGAAATTAATATAATTCAGACAACAATTTCATTTAAAATGTAAAGTACTTAACGAATATGTCACTCGCTGGTGTTGAGTAAGTTGTAAATTGAATTTACATTGTTCAAATAAACAGGTATTATTATGCCATTGGCTAAAGGCGAATAAAAATATCAAGCGTAAACCGGTGATATAATTACATGAACAATTTATATCATTTATCATACTTACGTCAGCAGTCAGAACATAAGTATATGCCAGAAATTTCAATTAATCAAATCTTATAGGTTTTTATTATAATCATTAAATTGACGGTGTATTTACGAGTATATCAGCTAGTTGCACAAATATCCATTAAAATATGCATTAGTTTAAAGTGACATTACCCATACAAATTAGTCATTTATTAGAGCTTAAAGGCGTCATTAAACCTTAATGGACGTTTGTGCAACAGACATTGTATCGGTTAGGGACTTAGTTAAGTTCGTCCCCTTTATAGTGTTTATATGTATGAAAATGTTAAGCAACGCGGGCATATCGACACGCGGTGTGGGCTTGATATGATTCCAGCTTATAAATAAAATTAATAGGAAATAAAAAAGGCCAAAGCTCCTTGGTAACTTACATTTTATTTCTAATTTCTCCGATATCATTTTGGCGAGGTCGACACAGAATCCTCTGTATGGGTAATGGTTTTTAGTACCGTCGGGACTGTTACGTATCATGTATGGAGGCTCTTCTATAGTCGATATTATGTACGTTTTGTTTCTATCGTACAAACCGGGAACGTCCAGACGAGACATTTTTGTGGAGACCGGAATCAAACCTCTTTTTTCGTTCCAACTCGCGATCTGTGTAGAAAAATTTTAGAAGCAATCAAAATAAACACTGTAAATATACTGTCGAAGCATGGCAATTAGATTATTTAAATAATCGCCTTACTATTTGTGTTCAGTCGACTGGCAAAAAAATATGTCAATATTATTATGTATTCGATGCCGAACATGATTTCTGTGGTCATTGCAGTGCAGGTATTTAGTGTTTTGTATTTATTGCTATTCGAAACCAGTTGCAAAAAGGTTTTATTTTTGCTATTGGTTGCTAAAGACTTTTATTTTGCAAAGAGTAAATCATTAGTGTTATTATTATTTGTTGGTACAAATAGTCTTTACTTTTTTATGTTAGAAACATCGCAAATACTATAAGTGTTAACTACCTAAAATGTTATCAACTTTCAGTGTATCATGCTCTCTTAAAAAATCTCTGCAGTGGTGTCATGAAGAGCGGGTCGTTACGCTCCCTAAAATATGGTTGAGCGAAACGATGGCTCCATGCATCATGCTCATTGATGAGTGTTACTTGTGGAGATGCGTCGGCTCTCTACCACTTCACTGTTTTTTCCGTTACATGTTTTATTTTTTGTATCAAATATTTTCTCGGCTTGTTTTTTATGACTGCATACTAAAGGATAATTATAAAATTTTATATAAACAAAACTAGTTTGTGTATGTATTTTTTAATCTTAATTCTGTAATGGACGATGACTTTCATGTTCCTTTTAGTTTTCAGTGAGGTGATTCTTTTATGAAACACAAAGAGAGAAAATCTTTCCTAATCGAGTTTTTGCGGGATCGATACTTTGTCTAAGGTAAAAATGCGTTTCACCAACGACAAGAAATCATCTAACGAATTTAAACAGCGCTTCAAGTTAGGCCATGCATTGTATGGCGCCTCCTCAGACCTCCTACCTCAGAGTAAACAATGAGATTTTTTATATTTCTGCTTGTGTATATTTTTTCTTGTTTCATTGTCTCAAAGTATATATTTTTATCATTGTCTCTTTACGTGTATAGGCTTCTAACGTGACATTGGCGGAATTGTATTAGCACTAATACGAGTATGCCATACATTAAAATAGAAGAGGAACTGAAGCATGCGAAATCATAGACAAACATTACCCAACCTAGCAAGTGCTTAGTAAGTCATTTACTAACGTTACATATTTTGTAAAACGACAAATCTGCATAAGCTATTCCTAATATTAAGCGATTTCTAGATAAGCTAGCTATGCCTTGTGCTACGTTAGTGAAAACGGGCGTCAATGGTGTAGTGTTCTTTTTTTTTCAAATTTCACAAGCATTTATTGTTCCCAACATTAGCCTGATACAAATTCGAGAAAAACTAAAATAATTCGATATAAGCCTGGAATATTTTTAATCAAGTTTGTGAGTTAATTACAAGAGAGAGACTATATTTAAGAATCCATCTCATTTTAGCTACGGAAGGTATAAAAAAACATCAAGTCAAAAACTTTCATTTCCTTCACGCAAAATTACTAACACGACTTTTTCACAAATTTTGGTTTTATTTATCATAGGGACAATGAAAATTACTGAAATCCAACAAAAAACTTACAGGAAATTGTGATTTTTATTAAACTTAATTTTTTACTTTTTTTTTTGTGTAGTAGTAGTAGTTTAATATGATAAAACTTCTATTTAAAGTATTTTTGCTTCATAAATAATTATAAGGCTATTGCTATACAATATACTTATACTTAACGCAAACATACTTAACGCATTATAGTAATATCGATTGAAGACGTATTTTATTGTTAATATTATTGATTTTTTTCAAATATTTTTAAATATTTATTGTCCGTGTTTTTATAAAAATATGAGTTTCCTAATATAATATTAGGAAAATTTATGTATTTCGTGGAAGTAACATAAGTAACGGCGTGAAAATACGTAAAAATCACTTTATATGTATTTTGCTTAACGTGCCATTGAGAAATTAAAGGAATTTTATTTTTTTTACTAACTATCCGAAATAAAATGTCAATGGATTAATTCATATATTAAAAAGAAAATAAATGATACCCTCATAATAAAAAAAAAACAGTTGTTATGTTTTAATGTTTGATCTCCATACTGAAAGTTGGTATTTGTATCAGGCTAACATGGTTTATTTTTAATAAATGTGGATATGATAGGTCGCATCCTAAAACCAATATACATATATTGATGTAAGACGATATTTAATACATAATGAAATTACAAATGCTAATAATTTCAATAACCTAAATAAAACATTTCTTTCTTCTGTCTTCTTCATAAAGCATACTAAAATGTTAAGCCCTGTTCGATGTCGTATTATGAAATCTTTTTAGTACAACGGAATTGTTGGCAAAGTCATATTTGAGCTCTTTTTTATGCCAGAACGGGTCATATGACTCTCATGTGGCCTAAGAAATTCAGCGTAAATGTGTGACGTGTTTACGAAATATCATTTCAGTGAAAAATTTGCACTTACGCTTTCTTGAAGACCTATAAAATTGACAACCAAGTAAGTGTCTTAATATTTTATAACAAAATTATTTTTCAATAATTTAATTGTTAATTTATCTAAATAGATATTACAAGTTTCCTTAACAAATTGATTTTAACCGACATTTGTTTGTTATTCTTGTACTAATGCAATCCTTCATTTCAAATACCACATTTTGAATTGGTATTTTCTAATATCTATGTTTGATGGATAAATCTCTCGCTGGATGGATATTGGTTTACGAGAAGACGTTTACCTAATGTTTTGTTTAGTTACTATTATTATTATGCATTTATGCGATGTCTTTATTTAAATACGATATTTAAGGTATTTATAATTTGCTGGATCAGTCTAATGTTTATTTATAAATTATATGTTTATTAACGAATCGAACTCATGGTTCTACAGTTACCTCATATATTTTTGACAATTAGTTGTATTATCTCTACGCCATGTGTGTGTCAATGATCATTTTTAAATTTTAATTTATATAAATATGTGTATATTTTATTTACCTTTACCATGTCACCTTCTACGGTGACCTCCATAATTTGAAGGCTGAAGTTACGTCGATGGCCTTCCTCATTGAACCTGATGGAGCCAGTCAAACCATCTACCTCCGTCTGAAGCAAAGAAAGACCCTTGTCTTTCAATTTAATAGCATAATTTCATACGACGCCATACAAACGCGCTCAGCCATAATAACATGAAAGGAAAAGAACAACATGTATTTTTTTATTCCATACGCTAAGGGCATCTTAAAATAGAAAATTATGACTTAGATATGTAAAACCAATAATATATTAGTTATTCAAGTTATACCTATACTATAGCTATTTTATATAAACACAAGACCATTTCAGTTTTGATTTGGTGGATGAGTTCAGGCCTGTGCCTTATGCGGGCAAAACTGTGAATATCTAATAACTAGACATTTTAAGCCTGTGCTTAGAATGTCTATAGTTATTAGATACGTATATATATATATAACTGTATCATAAAAGCCCCAACACGTATAAGCGAGCACACATCATTTAACATGGTAAAGAATTTTTGTAAGAAATAGGTCCGGGACCTTTAAAAGAAATTGATTTTGTCTCGTCCATAAGGTCTACATTAGCGTAACTAATTGTAACGTCAGCTCGATACGATTGCGTTATGATTGATGTCACACCTATTCGTGCTCGGGGCGGCGTTACATCAAAGGCAGATTTTAGCACACCAATAAGTTTTGGCTAAGATAAAAATGAATCAGACACGAAAAAATATTAAGGTTATAATAAAAAAATTCGCTGAGCACCATTCTGAGTCTGCAAACAGAAAACAGTCTAAAGAGTTGCGTTAATTACGAGTTGCTAAAAAGTTGAATGGGTTTCACTTTCTTAAAATAAATTACTTACTCATCATTAGCGCATCTGTGATTAGTAGGATATTAATTTTCATACCAAGTGATTTGTTATTTTAGTGTAAAATAAAAACAGTTTTTTTTTCTAGTTTGCACATGAATGGAATCTATTTTAGAAAATTCTATGACGTAAGGAATGATAATGCTTTATCGGAAAATAAGTTTAATAGCAATTTTGTAAATATCTGGTGCCTAAAACTACACAGTACCAGATAAATTCTACTCAAATATAGAAAATGTTTTATTACTAAGAAATAACTCTTTCTCATTCAATAAATCCATTAAATATTTCATTTTATATTCTCTATATTAAGCAGCGGATTGATTACTGTTGGAAATTCTTATATAGTCGGTATCGTCAACTAGTGTTGAGTTTATTTAAGTTTTGATATTTACTAGGTGCAGTTATTTCTAGTATTATCTTACACTTTTTCCAAATACCTAATCGATCTAGTCTATCTAGTATTAGTAAATTCACAAAGTAATTGGTCAGACTAGATCAGACTATTAACAAATGACACTAAAAGGTTCTAAGAATTTTACGCAACACTTTAATCACCTATTTCTTAGGTTCTAGTGTTGCATTTACATATCTATGGAAACTTACTCTATAGTAATAGAGTCCAGTTTTATGAAACAGACCAATATACGTATAAGTATGACTGCACATGAGAATATGATAAAGAACTAATATTTTAGAGTAAGGTCGCAAATCAAATACATTAATACTGGGTGGATGAAGTATTTAGAAATACGTGGATTTCTTCTAGTAAATACCTCTAATATCACGCAAAATTGCTTTTGCTTTTTTCAATCATATCCTGTTACAAATGTCACCTTTAGGATTCAGATATCCTTAATACAAGTTAGTGTTTCATCACTTGGATTGGGCACTAGATTGGGATCTGAACAATGTATGAGATGTTGTCTAATCAATTACTTTGACAAAGCTTTGGTCAAAGTAGAATGTTACAATAGATTTATAGATGTCGTCATCTCGTCAACAATTGCCTTTGCATTACGTTTTGAGCTTTTAATAAGACCACTGAACACAAGTCTTTTGAAAGCATTAACTTATTATCCTGAATAGAAAAGAGGTTTTGAAAAATCGAAAAGAATGTAGGAGTCTTCATTCACTATACAGATGCAGTGCTCGACTTTCATTGAAAAGAAGGGATCCCTCTGGTTGAATCAACATGTACTATTTATAACTATACGATTAATGAACTTGGTACATCGACTTACTACTACATAAACCTTGATGAATTTGGAGTATTTAGTTAATTTTGCTCAATGAAAGTGACAATGAGCAACTAGTATTGTAGGCATACATATATCTATAGTACTAAACAGTAAGAGTTAATAAAATTTGGCAAAAGTTATGAAGTAAAATTTGACGTTAATAATATAAATGGAAATCCCCAATCAAGTTGTCAATATGCAATTCATGATATAGAGGAAGCATATTTTACATTGAATTGAATTGAAAACGTTTATTGAACACACACACGACAACACAAAAAATAAAAATAAAAGATATAACACATACAAGGTTTGTGTTGTTCATTCTCAATTTCGTTATAACATTTTTGTTTTGGAAAATTAATTCTAACTGCATATTCTAACTATCACGAACAATAGACTTCACGGTTCTGAAAATAGTATCCAATTTAAAAAAAAGCTACATGTCTATCCAATTAAATATGATGTAAACTAAATACAATATCATTAATACAGTCAGTTAAGGACGCAACGATACATCGGAAAATATATATATCGACTCCCAAAAATATCGATACATATTGAAATCGAAGTATGGATATCGAAAAATATCAATATATCGAATAAATACAAAGAGTAATCACTTGTCGAAATTTTAACAACCAAATAATATTCCCTGCCGCGTTTAGGTATTATTATAATGTATGTTTTGAAATTTATAGTAGTTTTTTTTATTATTATTGATAATTAATTTCAAATAAATGTGTTAACCGTAATCCAATCTCAATAGAAAATTTTCTACTATGATTTATCTATGACAAAACAATAATAAAATAATACATAGGGTTTTTACTAACAGGAGATTTAGGATTTACTTAAAACTAAAATAAAATCAATACATATCGGTTTGGATATATCGATATCCCTACAGTCAATATTTCAATAGAATCAGATTCATATTTAAATATTACGAATTGTTGTTTGTTCGTTTTATAATTACTTAAGATGGAATTAATATCACAGTTTGTATTCGCAATATTTCATCATAATCGTCAACATCAATATTATCATCGTAATCATTTCATTATCATTATTATCCGAGCACCGCTAAGCACAGGCCTATCGCTTAGAAGTCTACAAATTAAAAATATGTTTTTTATCAAATCATCGGTCCACCCACAGAACAAAAAAGAGTAGAAGTAGCATGCCGGCTGTTTTGTATGAAAACCAATATAACGAAAGTTATTTAATGAAAGATAGTGTAGCCAAATTCAAAGACCAAACAACAAAAATACTTCGAAGGTATAGCAAATCCTATAAGATACCTTTTTTCGCCGTTTTCTTTACTATAAATTCAGTTTCAGTAAAATTAGTTGTGCATATGGCACGAAATTTCGTTGAAAACCAGTTTTGTCTACCGGCTGCAAAAATCTACTTAACTTTCAAGTATTCACCTTGAGGTAATTAATTACGCTACATTTAGCTTTATTTCTTTATCGATTTCAAATCATTGTATTAATTCCACATCCCTAATCGAGTAGCTCTCAAGATTGTCTAATGAACAGTGTGTTTAGAAACTTAAAAAAATATATCAAAAGAGTTGAATAGAAACAAAACTACAAATAAATTGAGAATAAAGTACAACTACTACAGTTATAATTTACGTAGATATCATTTTAAAATATTTCAAAGAGTAACGCATCGAAAATAGTCGGCGATACGAGTATGTTATTTATTAAACGTTACTATTAAGTATATTAAACAAATAAATATAAATAAAGAAATAAAATAAATAAAGAAACGTCCATTACTCTTCGCTCAGATCCAGTAACGTTACACCGTAGCTTTATCAATATTTGGTGTACGGATGTATTGAATGATTTTATTTACCAAGAGGTCACATTCAAATATTGACTTGAAGAATGACGTAGTGAGTTTCATTATTCAAAACGTTATTTAGAATATGTTCTTTAAATATATTTATTTTATTATCAGTCACAAACTGGAGATTAAAATTCATATACATAATATGAGTTATTATAACTTAACTTTTTTTTTATCTTAAATAGACCGAATAACTTCTGTAGTCGAGGTAAGAGTAGCTTTCTTGCAGGATTTAAATTGGAACAATGTTATCAGCACTTTCACACAACAAGGCTTCATACGTCATTATGCTATGAAAGCTAGTAAAGTGCAACTGGCAACTATGGCTGCCCTATATTGTAGAGTACAAAATATTATTAGTGCGACACGGGTACAAATGGAATGGAACGGTAGTGCTACCTGTGGGTTGTTAAATTTGAAAACCTTTCAGTTGCACAACATGCTGACACTTGATTGACACGGTGAAGTGATAAAACGATTTAATCAAGAATGTTGCTATAGAAAATGTTCCATCATTGTTGTAGTAGATAAAGGGTGACAGTTTATCAAATTGCCCAGTGTGTTGTATTGACAGACCACATTTTTTGCCATACTGTCGATTCTAAGTATGTGATGGAATTTTACTTGTGAATCATTTTATTTTTATTGTAGGACTCTTATATTGTTCGTGTATTTTTTTTATTAGACAACATGTGATATGACAAAGGTAAGGTAAGTTATTATGGAATATCTGAAACAATGAAGGTAACACAATGCTCATAAGACTAAATCCTTTACATTTAATTACAGAACAGCAATATAACTGGTATTTAGAAAACTTAAATCCAGTTACTGAGTTGAGAATTTGAAGTGGAGCACGTATTAAACCGAGGTTAAGCCGTTTTAAACGTCGCTTTAACAGGTTCTCAATTTTAATTTTAATTTTTTAATGACCAGTTGACAGGAGTTTGATAAAACCAAGCCTTTTTACCATATGAAACGTAAAAAAACTTATGTTATTGATAATAATCAGATGAGATATTGTACTTTCCTCAATTCAAAAACCGGCCGTATGACCGTTATATCAATGACAAATTGAAAAGAATTAAAAAAGCAAAACCGATAGTTTATAATATTTCCAGCCATCTTCAGTTATTTATGATAAATGTTGATACGGAATGCAGCGGCACGGTTTGTCTGTACATTACATTACAAGATGGCGTTATGAGCCAATTATTCGCGCTAACACTGTCGAAACTACATGTGTCATATATAGAGACGGACGGTTACTGGTAAAGAAAGGGACGGGTAGCTGTTCTAGAACTTTTTGGTAATACCTTGAATACACCGCTAAGGCCAAGGCCAAATTAGAATGCTTTGGCAAAATTAGGTTCTAATCTAGAACATTCTAGATGTGGTAAATGCGCAGTGGAGTACACGTTCCGGCATTCTTTCGGTGAAGTGTGGATTTTGTTGTTGAATTATTTTTGTAATTTTATTTAGTAAATAAAGTCGGATTGTGAATTCAATTGGCCTTGTTTTTCATCCCGAATCCTAACTCGTAACAATATTATATCAAACAACAACCTAAATTAATATAGGAGGCTTCACAATTTGGGAATATGATAATTTTGCGTTATTTTCGATACGAACTATTCGCATATCCAAGTCAAGTTTTTAATTATGATGTACCTTTGTGAACGAATCAAATTCATACTCAAAAGTATCCTAATTGCTTGTAGAGAGCATATGCTGTTCCTTTACCAAGTAAGCTGTAGAACATGTAGTTCACAAAGTTGCTAAGTAGGTGAAGTACTATGGGTACAACAACAACATAAGACTAGCCAAATTGAGTGAGAGAAGATTATATAATAAAACATATATAATAATTAAGTGATATTTGATAGTACATTGGACTTTTATCCATTGTACTATCAAATCGTGTTTCTATAGACCTTATCTCACAAGCAACGCATCTTTCTATTCAATTTTGTATCGGTCTACAGTAGTATAACCAAAAAGTTCACATCAGTTAAAGGTCCAATAAATTCTTGGGTGCCGATTTCATTCCGGCCGTTTGATATAATTAATTGACTTGTTTTATTACAGTACGGCGCAAGCCATGGTCCACTAGCGGCCAAGTTCAATCAAAGGCTTTTATAGATCTTTATGTATGGATCGTTGTTTTTTCTTCTCACTATTGCTCCCAATCCTGTAGCTATAGAACTGTATATATGAAAAAATCTAAATAACTTATCTTCCGCAATAGATAAAATATACAGTTAAATAACGACGGTAGATTTAATTCTGTTAAAACAATTAGTAAATGTGTATAAAAATAGAAAATCAGAAACGAACATATACTTTACGTAAAAAATCATCACCTATAAGCTATATAAGCTAATTTAATTTACCTTTTTGATCATTCTTGAAATCTTGTCTCCGTGTTCGTATGGTGTGATCTTGCCTTTTGGGTTGCAGTCTATAATGCGGCTATTGTTAGTTGTATTACGACGGATTGAGCCGCGCCACAGGTCAGGTTTCTTGCGGATCAAACGCAGTATCGCGTCTATTAATACTTGCACGGCATCATACATGAGAGCGGCTTGAGCCTGATAAACAAAACAATAGAATTAATATAAAAATATCATTTGAACACAAGTAATAATTGTCTGAAAATTTCTACTTGGAAGATAAAAATAAAGAAATAATTTGTGAAGAATGGTGCTGGGCTTAAGGAATAATTACTGACAGAAAATTTCGTCGTAAAATAAAAGTTAAAAATTATGATAATAAAGCTTTAGAGAAAAGGGGAACTGTCCGAAGGTAAGCATTAATTGCCTGCTTCATGTTATAAAGTTAATTCCCTGTTTTTTCATGTGCTACTTGAAATTTATTTAATGGAAGAATATATCTGAAGTTATCAATAAACTTCTCAAGAACTTGAGAGATAAATTATGTTAAATAGACCATAACAAGTAACACACATATAAGTGATTTTTGACGTGCATTTGTTGACTTATGTTATAGAATTGCGACAGCTGTGAATTAAGTTTTTTATATTAAAGTCATAATAAACTTTAATACATACAACTCGTACGAGTAAATTTGACACATGAGGGCCTATTCTACTTTTCCACGAATTAATTAATATAATAACCGCGGGCCGTAAAATGCGATCTACGATAGTAGCTGTTAAGCAACTTTCGTAAATTTCAGTCACAGGATAGGTGACCAAAAATTATTATCTCGAGCTATTCCTTGCTTTGGAAGGTACGTTAAGCGGTTGGTCCCGGCTGCATTTGTAGTTATACCCATTACTACAATCTGCATTGGGTCAGCGTAGAGAGTCAAGGCCCATCATTCTTAACCGTCCATTAGGAATACCTGAGTCCCTACAGTGGAGACGAAAAAAGGGCTGATGATGATAATGAATATGCGTGAAGATTATTTATTTATTGAACTTTATTGACCAATAAAGATGGTACAAAAGGCGGATTATCTGTGTATAGACGAAATTATCTTCAGGCGATGTGTTAATTCGTACGAGTAGTACTTAGTCTTAACTTAATTCGTTAAGAGCTTAGGGGTCAGGGTTTCAATATTCTTGGAGGACAAGGAAGATGTTATTTTCATTATTTTATATATGACCAGCGACAATATTCCGTTTGTCTTTCGAGAATATATGTATGAATTTTAAAATGGGTGCTATAAAATTTTCATAACGTTTAAAAGAGTGGAAGCATTGTGGCTTAATGGATTTATATTTTCTCACTGTTTTCGTCTCGATTGGACTTTTTGAAGTTGATGTCGTAATAAATATACTTGTGTTATGATTCGTAATCTTTGCTCGATAAACTTGTATCTTGCCCTCTTCTATTATGTTAATATTGTAATATAAAATAATTACATAGATGAATGAACATATATAATGAAGTAGAGATATGTGATCAAACCCTTTAATCGGGTTTTATTGTGCGCAACTGCTAATCGATTTAGTTGGTGAGAATAGAAAAACAAAACGCGAATTAGAACAAACGTCACTAAGGGTTTAGAATATCTATGACAATTTTATTAAAACCTTAACGATACTAGTGTTGTATGACGCAAAGGTTCGCCGTTTAAACAGTACTAATCGATATGTCGGCTTAAAAAAAATTGTGGCAACTTCCAGCCAACAATTACGATTGTCAATTTTTTCAGCTTTTGAATATTCTAGCGACTCTCAATAAACAAGTGGTCTTCATTTCAACACCGTTCTCTATCACAGAAATTAAATTTCGTAAGATCCTTCATCCTATATCTAGGGAAAATGGTGACAATTGTCCTTTGACATTCTTCTCGATCGTGTTACTCATATTAGTTAGAGCAAGTGTGCGACCGCCTCTCTAGCTTTGATTCTAGCCATAAGATACGACATCTTAGCGATTTCATGACAATATTTCGTGTCATGTTACTACTTTGACACGTCTTTTGGTGAATAAATTTGGGATAAACGACTAAGTGGTTAAATCCATAATCTTCATTCTTTATCGTTTTTTCGTCGTCACAATATTAAGTGGCAAAGTAGGAAAATGAAACGAAAGATCGCCATTGTATGGATAAAATGTATTCTATGATTAGAATCATGGCTAGATTTAGGCGATCGCACCTCAGTACTTGAAAATCAGATATATATAAATAAAATTGTAGATATAGTTTTATCTAGAAAATATTTTACAGTTAAGCCTTGATTGAGTTGTAAAAATATGCAATAGCATTAAATCATCACTTCTTTTATATTCAAAGTAAGTAAATATTTGACTATCGTAATCAGCTTAATACGTAAAAAATATTATACACAACCATAAATAGACACAAGAATATATTATTTATAAACAGGTTTGGTTTGCTAACAATATTGAGTTAAGAGATAGCCGTGCCGAAGTAACCAACAAGATGTTTTTCTTAAAAAGAAAAGTAGGGCTACGTTCGTTTACAGAATGAATAATTAGAGAATCATAATGATTCGGAGACTGCTTCAGTGGGGAATTGTCCCGTTTGCCAGCAACTTGGTATTGCTATCACGTAAATATGTAATGGCGGATCTCGTCCCCCGCCCTCGCCCGCTATGATCCCCCTGACATCTCGACTTGAAGCATCTCAATGAACAATCTACCTCAGATGTGACGTACCTTTTTCTGTTCCCTTCTTTTTGTTAATTTTTGACTCTTATGCAGGGTTCATTTTGTAGAACCAAATATCAAACGAGTACAGTTCAACCAAATTTATGTCAAAAGTTAACATTTGTTATAAATCATCAAAATTGTCCTATAGTTTTATGACTTCTAACCAGATTGCCTAAAGAGAATCCAATTTCTACAATAACTTGATTTATTTTAATTATTTATAATTTTGAAATCTGATACAATCTTCAAAAACCAACCTCCACATCCTCCAAACAAACCACCCTCTTCAAAAATCCCCGTTTGATTCAAAACTAACCGGGAGATATTATTTTATTTTTAATATTCTACTTTAAAACTGCCAAACGACTATCTAACAGTGTCGACCAAAGACAAGCCTTTTAGGGGAACTTGGGCGGACGTTACACTAATTATTAACAGTGATGAGTTATAAAAACGATTCGCTCACAGAACCCTGAGTACTTTTCGGAATCCAGTTTAAGAATCGCTGATCTAGATTGTCAAATACATAAACTATTGTTGTATTTACAAAGAAGAAAGCACTTTTTTCTTTTATCAAAATCCGACATTTACATACTATTTCGATAAACGTCACATGTTCACAAAGAATGTGTGTAAGGCTTGCAAAGTTTTGTCGTACGCCATTTCATAAAACTACTATGCTCGATGTTCATCTCGGGTAGCATATTATTCAAGGAATGAACATTTATAGTGTAACATATCTTCAAGATTTATTAAAAAAAAAATTCCATTTTGTTTAACAATTTTATAGATTGTAAACGAGAAATGAGAAGCAGAGTTTTCAAATTTAGAGTTGAGCTACTTATGGTAGCACGGCTTAGCTTTTCCCATCGTCCTATCTTCTTTAGTTGTTCAGAACCGGCATTTGCTAGAATGAGAAAGATAGCGAGTATGCGCGACCGAATCGACAGACAATACTATCTTACTCAATTTGCAATGTATGTTCGTCAAATCTTGTTATTGAATTTATAACAGTTACCCTAAACCAATCAACGGCTGTAATTTAGATTAAATAATAAAAAGTTTTATTATTTTTAATCTGACATGGCGGACGGCCCAAAATGGCGGCGTATATATTTTTTGTGTAATTTTATGTTAAAGGTGTGTATTAAGTGGAAGGTTTTATATAAATCGTTAGAAACGAAGGTACATAAATAATCCCAAAATTATAAAATCACTTCATCATCAATAAATTTCGTTTTATTATGCACGAATACGACCACCAAACGCGACTGACTAGTTATTATATTTAATCATTTTGCATTTACAATGCTATTTTGACTTACCTGGGGTAGAGGATTTTTTGACCATCATTCATATTAAGGTATCGAATAAAAGGGTGCCCTAAAAAGACTACCGAAATATAAAAAAAATAGAACGAAAACTTTTTATGAAAAAGAAAATCTTTAAAAAGGGAGATGTTTTGGTTACCACCACCACCACCAGCCCTTTGACGTCCCCACTGCAGGGGCTCAGACCTTTCTTATGGATGGTTAAGAAGAATGGCCCATGACCCTCCACGCTGGCCCAATGCGGATTGGAGGATATTAACGACTGCAAATGCAGCCGGGACCAACGGCTTAACGTGCCTTCCGAATCACGGAGTAGCTCGAGATAATAATTTTATGGTCACCCATCCCGTGACCGACCCTTGCGAAAGTTACTTAACGACTACGATCGCGGGCCGCGGCGCTTATCCACTACGCCACCGAGCTACTCTATGTTTTGGTTAACAATAGCAGAAATCTCTAAAATATTTGTAGTAACGAGTAAATAATTAAAGTTTTCTTATCATATTAATTAATTATACAAAACAAGGATTGTATGTTTGGTTTATTCATATATGCACCCTTATATGCTACTCTGTAAAGTCGGCCCGCTGAAATTTCGCTACACTGCAAACCTAATTAGTCTGATTCTACGTCTTGAGCCTCTCACGTTCATAATTAAAGGCTGGGCATAAAGACAGACAAAGGAAAACCAGACAAAATCAAAGACAGAGAATGGAGTATTGCGCATAAACAAATATTTTTCAATTGATCTAAAGTCTCTCATGATTATTGTTAAAATTCTTCGTCATGTCCTGGGTGACAATGGCGTACATATTTAAAATAACCTTATTGTAAAAGAGTATAATTACGAGAAGAACAAAAAGTATGAATACTTTTTTGACCCAGTCAATACTCTTACACATGTGTTGTAGTTCTCTTATTTTCAATTATAGCTTCATCATCACCATCCTATTAAAGTGTTCAAAATCAAGTCTAATAGGCCACCAAGCAGGCCTAGTACGGTTGAGTCAATTATAGTTTAATGCGACGTAATTTCTTTGTACAAAACTAGCCGTAAGTCCGTAATTTTCTTTTATTCACGCGCTTATTGTTAGCAGTGTACGATGTCATAATAGTTATATCATACACCTCTTATCTATATATTATTTTAAATATACTATATGGAACTCGTATCTTCTTTAATGTGAGGCCGACGTGATTAAATAGAAAGTTATAAAATATTTGCAGATGTACTGTTTACACACTATATTTTGAATGCATAGTTACCGTATTTTTCAATACTCGTAAACATTTAAAATGTAATAAAATGTCTACTTATCTAATTGAAGACTTTTTTTCTTAAATTTTACTGTCGTGAATAAGTATGAACATGTCATATTTTGTTTAAATAAGGTTTAAATTGAAAGAAAAGTATTATAATCCTTATTGCATAGATTTGCTCGCTGTAAGGTGTGCAATCTTGCAGAAAAATCCTAAATCGCGGTATTTGTAAGATCCTACAAATCTAGTAATTACTTTTAATTATTATAACACTTGGTAATAAATATTATTGGTAAGGGACACTTAAAATATCATGTATATAAAAATACTTTTTTACACGGTTTTTGTCTAGAGAACATGATACAGCTGAAGAACTACTTCACGTTAGCAATGATCATAAAATATGTAGATATAACAAAGGTCGTATTTTGTAGTACTTTTTTTGTGTCGTATCGATTTTGAATTGAATTTTAGTGTTTAATATGCTGATGTTTTTTGAATAGATTTACATAATTTGCATTGAGCAGTCAATCCATTTTCTGCTGAGTACTGCAAAAGTACTTACTCTCAGCTGAGTATCAAACCTTTATTAATAACATTTGACGACAAGATGCATTTTTTACTTTTTCTTAAACCAATTATCAACTACAAATTACCTTTTTTACCATAAAAAAAAAAAAACTAATCAGAATAGTTTCCGTAAACAAATAAATACGCCACCTTTACGGAACTAACTGAAAAATGGCTGAAAATTGTTGTAAAAAAATGTTGTTATGCAATCTTGCAAATCGCGAGAGATCGCGCTGGATTTCGGGTGCAAGATTTATCTTGCAAAATTAGTGCAAGATCTAGTTATTTCGTGATAGCGGAATACCAAGATTGTACTCCCTAGTGCACTGTGGCGCTTGGTTGTTTCCTTATACCCCGGAATGAAGGTATAGATAGATAGATTCTATAATTGATTGAAAAAATAATAAAAAAGAGAATCACTTATTGCATATGAAAATATATTAAATGGTTTATTTTTTTCTTTCACTAATATATTTAAAATAAATATGAGCCTCAGAATAGAATATTTAAATAACTAAACTTACCGAAATGGAATCCTTCTTCCAAACATCAATAAAGTCTCGAACAACTTTCCTGGAAAAATCCAGCACTCTGAAGCCTGTTATGTTAATAGCTCCGAACTCGGTCACTTCCTTCTCCCAGCGATCGTCCATCACCTGTGCCAAACATATTTTCGTTACGTGTCTTATAATTTCATTCCATTGATTTAGAATCTAGATAGGTATTAATTTTAGTCAATAATAAATGTATTAGTGAGAATGCAAAATCTGGCCATAGAACATGAATGGGAATTTGCAATTGTAAATTATAAACGTTTACCAAAATCGTGTCATGGGTGATGCCTGGATAAAAAACAGAAATTGTAGAAAAATATTAGATACCAACGTATTTTCTTTTGCTTCAACTTAACAAGAAAGGGCTTGGATAATAGGCATTAAAGTTGAGAAGTCAGTGGCTCGCTACGTTACAACTATGTATAAAATTTACAAAGGTATGACGTCATGCGATATTTCAACTCAATATGTCGCCGTAATTTATTGATTAAGCAAAAAAAAAAAAACGTTAATTATTCATCAGTAATCTACCCAATAAACAGACAAACAAAAATTGACATGATCTCTATTAAAGTTTGTTTTTTTTTTTAGATTTTTGAGGATATAACTCATATTGGCGTAACTAAAATCTTTGTTCTAACGATTTGTTTGAAACTCTCCTACTAGATTAACTAGATTATTCCGTATGACAGAAAACTACGGGAAGGTACGTCCAGTAGTTTTTGAGTTTCCCGTGTTCAGGACTCAGGTAGACAAACAAATGAGCGGGGATCGTTTTTTAGACATCTGGATATGTAGCGAGTTTGTCTAAAATGTAATTAAACTTCGATAAAGAGATGTAGAAACATTTCATTTACTCGAGGGCTAGATGATGTTATTTACGAAATGTATTCTGCTTTTAATTATAATAGTAGCGAATTTGTTACATGTTTTATTGTGTGAACTTTTATGTCACGTTTCAATATGCTTAATTATATGTGAATATTGTTTGTAGGATGTATATAAAATAGTATTTCCTTTCATTGATGAAAAATTAAGAGGTAAAACATGTTATGTCAGGCACGACTCAAGATTATATACGATAACTACAAGAGTGATTTAAAAATGAAATGATTAATAGTTTTATACTGAAGTCGGTTACTGATGGAAATTAATATTGCTACCAAGACAAACAACAAATACAAATGTCAATCAAATGAAAACAGTTCATGTTATAGAAAAGGTACTAATAATTATATGCCACCTAAAAGCCAGTTTCTAACAAAGCTTGCACACCGAAGTAACTTTTAATGAAGCGAAATTGGCATGTACATGTTACTTTGACTGTATAATCGGTTACCAAAAGAAGATCTGTTAATAAAATTTGTTGTTATATGATTATAATTTAATTTTAAATGACGTTTTACAACTTTAGAAAATACATTCGTTAAAAATAAAGTTGTATAAATTGCTTTTGCCGAAATGGCTCTTTGTAATAATTTGTAATGAAATGCTATGTATAGCAACTTTCAAGAAATAGTAAACAAGTTATCACAAACTTGCTATCGGTGGTACGCGGTTATTTCTTATCTTAATAACAGCAGCACAATTTAAACGTATTTTTGTATCTATTTTAATTATTCGAATACATAATGACACATCGTTTAATATTTTATATAAATCTTCGGTGTTTGAAACCAATAAATTTTGACAGTTGTTGAAACGTTGCACGAACGCGGGAACAATATCGAGCTTTGGTTATGCTACTGTAGTATGTTGTAATGAATAATATATAACAAATCTTGTGTGTGGTATGTATATTGGGTTGCCCACAAACTGCTCAACTAAAGGTAAAAACATCTTTGTAACCAAACTCTAAATCACTTTATTAGTTATCGAAGAGAACGCAGCGCAGCTAGCTTAGCGATGTAGTAAAAGATTACTCACCAATCCGCTGAGGAAATAGTGGTAATTCCTCCTTCCGAGGTGTACGTCACGTACGTGTGAAATAAGAGCTTCCTTCGCTAGTCGTGTAGATGAATCCAGGACAACATATTTGTTGCTCCAGCGATCTAGCCTCTCAATGGCTCCGAGGAATTCCACCACATCTGACGCGTTGGTTACACGCTTCACGTTAGATATACGGAAGGTGGCATTGCCGGGTTGCAAACTCTGATACAACTGTTGCAGCCGAAGGAGACCTTAACAGAAAATAAATAGTACCATTATTATTACAAAATCGAAGTAAACAAAATTAACAACAAATATTCAATGCAGAATGGACACAAATTCCTTTGCGTAGCAAAAAATTGATTTAAAAAGGTTTGCCGTTTTGGCGGTCTTCTTGAACTTTTTGAATTTGAGACGCGTGTGGGCTATAGCCACAAATTGTTCCTAACTAGTCTTTTAGGCTAAATATTACTTAATTATAAATAAACAAATTAATGTTACACAGTGAGTAAAAATAATTTTTGGCTTATGTTGAAAGTGCGGTGTTTTTATTTAATAATTACTACAGTGAACCGAAGAAAAAAAACGACCTATGGATAACTAACATCGAGAGTCGTATACAACAACAACAACAAAAAATCGAAAAAGCCGTTTGTAAGCACCGTGTAGTGTTAAAAAAATATAACAGTCATGTAACTTTCTGGTATCTGTCACCCAGTAGGACAAATGTACAATAAAATTTTCATAAGTTTAAAGCTACATCACTCATTCAAATTGTTAAATTTAGAACGTTTATTAGATCTTAAAGTTAAATCTACATTAACGTTTGTGCAATTGACAGTATGTCTTCTGCAAAAGACATGGTTTTAAAGTATACTAGATTAACACATATTTTAATTACGTTTTTCTGCAAAATTGTATTTTAAAACATTAGGGTTCTAATTGTTTCAAAATGTTATTTTGCAGATATTATTTAAACCAGCTGTTTTTCCAGCAATTTCATTTTTTTTCAATAAATCAACAATCCGTTTAATCCTCGTTAAATCCAGTCACAGTCCTCTCAGTCTTAAAAATATATAAAAATGTAAAAAAAAAATTTTATATATACTGAAACAAATTATACATTAGTATAATGTATTTTTTTATATAATGTATTGTTTCAGTATAGTAAAGTAAAAGTACACACAAATAACCAACCATATTTGTTTGGGTGGAGTGCCTGAACATTTATGAAAATATGCTCTGAGGTAGTAAAAAGTAATAAGTGCTTGAAAAATACTAAATTTAATTTCAATCTGTCTTGGAGAAAATCGACTATTATAGGACGACCAGATAGACAACCGAGTGATGCTACAAGGGTTCGATATTCATTTTGATTCGATATGAGAATTATTTGCGATTGAAGCTAATGTAGTAGAATTTGAAATCGTTGTTGATAATAAACATTAATTGAAAAGATAAGTGGTTTCCAGTAGCATGTTTCAGAGGGGTTGATATACAGTAACGTTTCACATTCTGTTACAAAAGATCCACCCCACACATATATTTGACGTAATTTATGATACTTCAAGGTTGATCAACATCCTTTATTTGCTTATCGCAATAACGTTTGACTTTTCCGACAGACTCAACACCGCATTGTGTGTGAAATCGTCATTGTAACGAATGAGGGTAATATCAGACAAAGTATCAGCGTACAGATTGTTTGATACTCTTGTTGTCTTCTTTACTTGTGTCTTTTTCATCGTTCAAAGGCACTTTTTCTACTTTATTTACACTGATTGTTTCTGTCGTTTTGTGTTCCAATGTCTTAAGCGGAAGTAATTAAATAAAGCAAATGACAATTGAAAATCTTTTAGTTCTACTTTTACGGCTTCTTGTAAGATTACAAAAGCACATAGTCTACATGTTCACTTCTTTAGTATTAAAAAAAAACTACTAATTGCACGTTAAAGTCTGTCTTGGAGAAAATCAACTATTATAGTATATAGGTATCTTTGGATTACTTTCGAGAGAAGCCCTGGCAACTGTATTGTTAAGATTTTAAAGTAATAAAGCTATTTTTTTTTTTTATATGACGACCTGTACAAAAAATTAGTGGTAGTTAATTTTGCAAGTTAAATACAATGCTGCTTATTATATACCTAAAATAAATATTACTGTTACTTTTACATATAAAAAAAAGAAAATCCTCTAATAAAATAGAATAAAAATAAAGAAAATACGACTATACGATATCAAACGACTTTTTCTTATTGGTAATTTTAGTTTTTTCTACTACTACTAATATACAGTTGTTACAATTTCTAACAACAACTGTTACTGATATATAGTTGTTACACATCACCGGCCCTTTTTACGTCCCCACTGCAGGGGCTCAGGCCTTCCTTATGGATGGTTAAGGAGGATGGGCCATGACCCTCCACGCTGGCCCAATGCGGATTGGAGGGTATTAACGACTGCAAATGCAGCCGGGACCAACGGCTTAACGTGCCTTCCGAAGCACGGAGTAGCTCGAGATAATAATTTTTTGGTCACCCATCCCGTGACCGACCCTTGCGAAAGTTGCTTAACGACTACGATCGCGGGCCGCGGCGCTTATCCACTACGCCACCGAGCTACTCTGTTGTTACATGTTACATATTAGTTGTTACGATTTCTCAAAAAAAAAAATAAGACATCAAATACGTTTTCTTAACTATACCTATAAAAGGAGATGTCCTGACTTACTGACTGACAGACAACGCACAGCCTAAACCGCTGATCATAGAAACTTGAAATTTTGAGGGAACATTCCCCTTAATACGTAGAGATGTACTAAGAACGGATTTTTGGAAATTCCATCCCGAAGGGGGTCAAAAAGGCTGATAAAATTGGTATTTGGGTAGTTTATGACCCTAGGAAGGTACAAGGTTATATTTTATTCCAAAAACTAGCACTTAATGAATAAAAATGGGAGTAAAAGATTTTATGGGGAATAAAAATGTTACCATAGCAACCATTGTTTACAATCTGATTTGTCATTGTAATAAAATTACCTAATATTATTTATTAAATATTTTGTTGTATAGCGATGAATAAAAATGTTCAAATTCAATAAATTTTGTTTAGAAAAGAAAAATATTTTTATATTTTATATATATATGAAATACACTAGATTTTTTAGCCTAGAAAACGTACCTAGAATAACTTAAATATTCTAAATCGCGCTGTTATTTTGATCAAAGAACTTTGTGCGGGCTTTAAATCAAAATCATTAAAATGTTGCTCCAAGTTTAGATTAAAGAAATGGCAATTATTTGTCTTTTTCGTTTCATCAGTAATTCATTAACTGAGGATTGATAGGTCTTAACCTAAGATTTTAAGGTCTTAACGTAAGAATTGACCAATTCATGATGCGGCCAGACATTTCATGAAATGTTTGTGTTTCATGAAATGAAAAAGTTCTTGCTGCTCACATCATGATGTGGCTTGGCCAGAACAATGAATGATTTGCGTTTAACGATATGGGCGGGTGATAGTTTGACTTCTTCATGATATGGCCAAGAGTAAGTGATCATATTGTAAAATAGTTACGTAAGTCTCAGTAAGAGGCGCTGATGTCGTATTGTTTTTGTGATACGTTATTTATTTTAATTTTTAGGTTATCAACAAATTAAAGAAAGTGGGGTGACTGATTAAGTTCAGTCAGATAAATGTTGCAGTGTAGTGCGAAGTGCAGCAGCAAAAGTTGTTTCTACAGTTTTATGGATATATCGCAGGTTGTGATAAAGACCTAATGTGACCTAGCTCCAAAGGCTGATAAAAATATATCGGAGAGTATAAAAGTTTTTGAGATATGAACTGAACTTATGTTCCTATATGATTCATTACTTTAGGTCACGTGATAGCTAGCGATCGTATTAAATTATGAGGTTGTTTTTTTTCAAATCACAAAATGATAACTCTACCTAATGAATAAATAAGGTATTTCAGCAAATAATTAGATTTCTTTTTTGGGCGCCCTACATTAATGATATGACCAAATCTGGATTGACATATCATTCATTTAATTTAACTCTTAAATGATATAATCATACGGCCTGTCGGTTCATAAAATCATCAATTCTACGATATGACCACAACATATATACGTTATGTAAGTCGTTTATTGAAAAAAAATATATACGTTGCACTGTTCATCATCATCCCTTTTAACTCCCTACTGACCCTTCTAACCCTTCGTTATAGGTGGTAAGGAGGATGGGCCATGACCTTCCACGCTGGCCCGATTCAGATTTGAGGGTATTAACGACTGCAAATGCTTCCGGGCTTTATCTGCCTTCCGAAGCACAGAGTAGTTTGAGATACAAATTTTTGGTCAGCCATCCCGTGACTGACCTTTAGGAAAGTTGCTTAAATACAATGACCGCTGGCCGTGGCGCTTATACATTACACGACTAAGTTACTCTGAAAATGAAATATTTTTTATTGGAATCTAAATGTGGATTTATTGATTTCAAAAATCACGATAACGTTTTATTGTATAACTCCAGAGATAATTCTTCTATTGAACATTGTGTAAAGTGTAAAGAAATTTAAACTTTTCTATACTTGATCGCGTTAATGCTAAAGTTATCTGCGCTAATGTTACTATCAAAGAATTTTGCATAGACTACGCTTTCGATTAAGTTTTGTGTAAACATCAGAACTATTTTTTCATCTGTATTTCACAGGATGTGATTTAAAAATTGGTTTTTATTTTTTGGAAAATATATGCTGCCCAAAGTAAACCACGCGGACGAAGTCGTGGGCAAAAGCTACTACATTTATAACTGTTGTGTTGGAGCATCTTGGCACCACTCAAAAATGTTTATTCGTTTCCACGAAGATAGTTAAATGATTTCTTGGTCCTATTAACGTTCGATAGTAATCAGATGTATTTTCAAAAGTCATAAACGAATTGCATAGGCAAAAGGAAAATAAAACCCATTTGTTGATCAAAGCTCGGCGGCGAGTGCTTTTGGCAGTGTTTTATTTTGTTTCGGATCTCGTTCTACCAATGAAAGCTTGAAAACAAAATATAATCTCTAGTTACGCCATCGATCGACAGAAGCGACGGGAATAAAAAATGATGATTTTTATTTTTACTTTGTGGATTAGATTAGAATGCAACTTCATTGAAGCGGAGTTGCATTTTAATCTATCTCTGCAGACTAAAAAAAATTTGCGAGTAAATTAATAAGATAATTTCTTAACGCGCCCACATGATGACTGCCTGTTCGGCCGCAGGTGCTCTTGGCCGTTGCGAGTTAACATTCTGATTTATTAGCACCTTAACGTGTACATACTCAGCAGCGTTAACCGCTAAGTACGATTAGCTTATCACTAAATTTAACCACAACTCCAACCATATTGGATCCTACGCTGCCCGCATCCAATGGTGACTTTTGACAATATGAAAGCACCTGCTGTTCCTTGATGAAACTATAGATTGACTCGCATTATCCTGCACTGTTCCATCCTGTTTCAATGGATGTTGATTACAGATAAAGCCATTCTACTTCGTTGTAACATTAAGGGTGATTCGGTGTAACACAAAAATTGAAAAGTTTTTGATTTTGATATAATATCATTTGAAATAGTAAAAAAAACCAGTTGTCTCAATTTCCTGTGCGTTTCTATAATGTCTGTTCTCATTATTTCCTAAGTGATTCAAAGTCGACAGCATAGACAAGTATCTTAAAATTAAATATTGATATTTTATCGATAAGAATTCAAAATGAGGAATACTAACACCAAATACATTAACAGTAATTTGCTGAAAAATAAATGAACGTGATAAACAAATATTTATTTAAATTCACTCTGAACACGTTTCTTTCTTAAAAGCAAAATATGGCTGCGCACAAAACGATTTCAAAACCTTTTGATGGAAATGTCAATGAAAGATGAAATACGCCATTCATCATTACTGGGATTCATTATGCAGCTCCGATCTAGCGCTTTTGTCATAAATTAAGGGTAATATCCGCGAAAAGATTGAAGGCGTGACGAAGACGCACAAGAAGAGGGTTGACGTGTGGGTAATGAAGGCGTTAGCAGGATTTGTGGACCGACCATCTCGCCGGCTGGTCGCCTCATTGCTATTTCATATCGCGTCATACGGTCCCTTGTCTTTATTTCATATTACCTTGCTAGTAATTACTGAATAAAATATATCTATAGTTGCTGGAATGCGTATCCAAAATATAAAGATTAGTTAATTTCTGTTTTTTTTTTAAATTTACCTGTGCGCCAGCATTTATATAACATCTAGATAAAAAAATAATTAAGTCGTCTTTTCTTTAAACCATATTTTCCTTGGACAATTTTCATTTTTAAGAAATAAAAAAAAAATTAAATTTAAGCAGACTATGCTTTTATTTCAGGCATTCTTTAAATGCAAGCATAACAATAACCCTTTTAGATTATACCTATGGCCAGATAGCTTAAAGAAATGTGACATCTTTTTCTTCTATAAAGTAACTTTCATTGACGCGATATATGAAAAGAATGGCACCTCTTAAAATAATTGGATTTAATGGAGAACAATATTGTAATACTGACGTTTGTTTTATTATGCATACATTTTTCTGCAAATCTTTGAATGAGTTTTTGTACTGCATTGCATGCTGTGTGGTGTCGGAAATTTAACAGAAAACCATCTCAGATGGCAGATAGACGAACTAGCTTAGTTGTCAAAGCCACAGGATAGAGTATTCTGGCACATAAGGGCGAGATTACCCAACCCCAAATAATGGAAGAAGAAGAGAATAGATAGAGTGTGCTCGGAAAAGCAATATATGTTTTATTATTGCTAAAATTACGGACGATTTATGTCTTTAACTAAACTGAATTTTGTTGTTAGTACTAAGTTACACTTAGTTGTTTCTAATAACAACAACTTAGTTTAGCTACTAAGAGGCAGTTGGTAACTAAACTTTTTTTGTGTCACAAAGTTGATCAATTACAACCTCGTAACGGCAAAAGCTCTACCCCATAATACTTATTAAAGTTAAGTAATTAAGACCTAGTTCTTTCAATAGTTACGTAGTCTCAGTATCTCACGTATAGTTAAAGAATGTTTTGTAAGTCCGAAAGGTTCCTATAATTCTATTTAACTAGTCGTATTGTAGAACTTACGAAACATGCCCAGGTTATTAAATGTTACTTAAATCAGCCTAATTGAAAAATAAACTGTAAACGTTATTGGACTTCGCGAATTGGACAAAATGCCAATTGGGCTTTATTTGGAAATTAGACCAAACGCTACTAAAGTAGTAAAGGTTTAGGTAGATTTTAAATCAGATGTTCGTGTATATTTTAAATTTCAAATAATATATTGAAAACAGATAAACCGAGCTATGGTCGTAACTAATATTTTCATTGTGTTTCCTGTAAGACTGTCAACTATAGAATAACGTAATCGGTTACTATTTAAAACAATAAAAAAAATCGTTGCTCTATTCTGCGTGGTTTTTAGTAAAGTTAGTGTCTCTCGAGATTGGCGAGATTTGCTTCAAGCTACCTAATACGAGATTCGTCGAGTCGAGAGAAAGGGAATTCATTCTGGGAAGTCTTTGGATATTTCGAGTTAGATTCGGTTTGCTTCCTCCTAGTTCGTCGCAACTGCACTAACTTTTCGAACGTCTTTTTGCAGCATCTGCCAAATACGAGTTAGAAAGTTTTTCTTTATCTTTTAGTATCTAAGTTGGTAACAGCATTAAAGAGAATGTAACTGTCGTATATTCCAAATATGGAATGAATAGATGAGTTGATCAGCGCTTATAATAAAATGACGGATTATTATATATCATCACCATCACCAGCCTTTTTACGTCCCCACTGCAGGGGCTCAGGGCTTCCTTATGGATGGTTAAGGAGGATGGGCCATGACCCTCCACGCTGGCCCAATGCGGATTGGAGGGTATTAACGACTGCAAATGCAGCCGGGACCAACGGCTTAACGTGCCTTCCGAAGCACGGAGTAGCTCGAGATAATAATTTTTTGGTCACCCATCCCGTGACCGACCCTTGCGAAAGGTCTCAGCTGCATTTGCAGTCGTTAATGCCCTCCAATCCGCATTGGGTCAGTGTGGCCATCTACCTTAACCATCAATAGAGAAGGCCTGATCTCCTGCAGTGAGGATGTAAACGGGTAAAAGGTGATAATATGATTATAAGGAGGTGTGTAAGTATTTCAGAATGTCATGTATGAAACATGCAAATCGGGACCTTGACTTTGAGACTTTGTATTTATTTATAAGATAACGAAAAACCCTGAGGAAATTCAAAAATATAAACAAAATCTCATCTATTTACTCATCACCCTGTAATATGAAACAAAATGAATACACCGAGAAAACGGCACGGCCATTATCGATGAGACAATATATTTCGCATTGGTACCCGCGCCGTGTTCGTATTATATCTTTATACTCCAATAAGTTTCCACCGATCGAGCCCGGAGAATAAAGCAATAAACTGTTTGTGCTAGTTATCCTAATTTTAGAAAAAAAACGCAAGCAAGAAAATCCGTTTCTTTTTGTTAAAGAAAATTATCCGGGGGAGACTGCAGAGGATGTCGAGTCGACGGAATTCCGGCGTTGTCTCCGTTGGACGTGATTCTCAGTGAGACATGATTACGTCTTTTCTTATATTGTGCACGATGAATAGTGACATGGCCTACAAGTCAATTGGCCACGGATCGTGACTTTCGGTTATTAGTAATAAAACTTTACAATGTTCCGACGTATCCTTTAAGCAGCAAGCTTCGTATGAACGCGAAACTTGACAAAGTTAATTTATAATTAATCGTGAAGAGATGTTTCGAAATGTGCCATGTCTATGCACTGAATTTGACAAAAATACAGTTTAATAAATGTCTAATAAACTTATTATTCAAAAATAAACAAGTTATTTTTGTATTATAAGGTGCTAAATGGTGACCATGTAATGAATGGTGGTATATTCTCATTTTACAATAAATGTTCTTTTACGAAAATAAATGTTATATTTTTAACTTAAAAAAAATTTTTCATTTGTTAATGGCTTTTCAGAATTATTCTTCCATTTTTAATAAAAAACGAGATTATTGAAAAATAGCAATTTTTACCAAAAAAAAAAGCTACTGATTCGCTGTCGACGCGAGAATATACATTTTTATTTTTTTTTTTTTTTTTTATTTTATTTTTTTTTTTTTTTTTTTTGACGCTGAGAAATGCGTTACGCATACCCGCTTCGCCCTGCGCGGGCTCCACGGGTGATGTGGGACTCCTCCTGTGGTCCCACCCCCAAAAGGGGGCTAGACAAGAAACAGAAGTTTACCCACTAAAACTCAGCGATGTCCCTCTCATGGTGGGCGAGGCGCGGGATCGGCCCGGAGGCCATACACCGCGCAGTTCGCCCCCATTTCGGCCTGCCCTGAAAGGACAGGTTCCACTCGGGTTGGGGGTACGTCTCAGAGACATTCGAGACGCATCCCCACGACGAGGCAGGAGCGTGCAATGCCGACCGGTGACGCGAGAATATACTGAGTCAAACCCACTACCGACGAAAATATCGCAGAACATACATACAAAAAGAATCAGCTGAACTAAGAATTTCCATCCTTTTTGAAGTCGATGAAAATGATTATAGATATGATTAATTTAAGAGATGATATTTGTCCAAATGAGCAGGCAATTTAAGTAATTTCAGATTGTTAAGGCCTACCATTCTTAAAAAAAATTGGCTTTCGGTCCTCATTTTAATTAATGCCTTAAATTACCTGCCTGTCGTCTGCATAAAGCGAAAATATAAAACCAATTTCCAAGTAGATTTTTTATATTTTTCTATTGCTTTCCAACAGTAATTATCATATCCTAGATAATACACTTAAATAAAAATTAAACTTGATTATATCTCGAAGGTAAATAATAGTATTATATCTATGTGTAAGGCAATAATATATTTAATTGAAATTATTAACAGTAATAAAATTCATAAATCTTAAATATATAGGTTATTGTGAGTGATATCAATGAATTTATAATTTGCGCAATCCAGCAGTCGCCCTGCTCTAACTAAGAGTACCTGTTACTTTGTTGCTTCTACATACAGAGCGTAATTAGAGCAGTCGCTCGGATTGTGAAACGTCATAGGTTGGAGTCCCATCTTCGGTGCGGAGTACCAGGGATAAAGTGGATTTTTTTAAGCATTTTCCATTAAGAATACTTTCCAGTATAGCAATTTGCATTAAAAAATGATCAAATATAATAAGTATAGAATTATCAAATGAGAGTTTTAGATTGGTTTGGAATACAAAACATTATGGTAAATTTTTGAATTATTATGATAATTTTTATTTGTTTCTCAGCATATCCTAACACGAAAGGCTTGTTTAATCTCAATTATAAATAAATTGTCATCTAATCGAAATATTTAAAAGTTTGTAAGGATATTTCTATCGGTTGTACTCATTCATGGAAATAGATCACTAGTAGCGAGAATAATGTTAAACTAGCAAACTAACAGTAGTAATTAGGAGTAAGTTTCAGTAGTAGTACTTGAGAAATAAGGCAGGTCGATAAACTTGAAGACCTCCGTAGTTAAGTACGGGTCGTGCCTTCAAGAAAGTTGTCAAGGTATCAAAGATAGTCTTTTTTTAATAATTATGTATTTTTCCACAGTAAGAATTGTATTTATATAAATATTGTAACATAGTTTTAAACTAGATAGCAAATCTTTGGTCAATACATTTTTTTGTAAAATATTAACAAACTCCTATTTGTTGAAACTGTGCACGTGTTTTATTTTATTACTGTTCGGAGGTTTTCCTGTAAGTTTTAGATAACATGTTTTTTCGACAACATATTAGATATTCATAGAATAAATCTTATTTAAATATTGCGGTTGGCACGCTTGTTCTGAAAGGATTTGACAGTTCCACATAATAATATTATACTATGCCCTTCGGCATGTAATGATATAATTTTGAAATGATGATTTTCTCATCCCAACATTGAATTTGTGTGCCTTTAATGCATATGAAGTAAAGCCTACTTAATTGATGACCTCCGTAGCCGAGTGGTTCGCACGCCGGTTTCAAGGTGTCGACATCT